GTCAGAAATTATCACTGGAAAGGAAAAGAAAGGAAAGAAGGACGATACTTGCCTCCATACTGTGTGTTTAATGCTAGTAACTCAACTACAAACCTTTAGGCCAAGGCGAGGCTCCGGACCTGTGTATAGAACTTCTCAACAGACACTGGATGGGAGAGGACGAGGTCACGTGGGTGGGAATGCTCTCTCACTTGATGGAGTTTGACACCGATCCAAGAAGGATCCGGGAGCATGAGATGATCTTCCCACCATCCCTGCCTCCCCTCCTACTGTCAGGAGACAATACCATCAAGGGAGTATCTTTCGATTCCTTAGATAGCTCCAAACTAGTTGAAGGCTAGCCCTATGCATCTCCTGTTCGTAGAATTGGTTTTAAGGACATGAAGCCGAAAAAGATGATCATGGGCTGAGGGAAAGATGTCTGATTTGAAGGAAGAGCTGTTGGGGATTAAGCCTTTCTCCACTTCTGAACCCGAGCAAGCCGATGACTCGCTCGCTTTCTGTGATCAGAGCACTGGTCACTTCCTTGCAGCTCACCAGGCACAGAATTAGGACACCATGACTGGCAGGGACCTTGCTAACTCTGGTGATTCATTCACACCAGCCCTGAATCCTGCCCTACATCTGTGCTTATGAATACAAAGGTCTTTCTTGTTTAGGCCGCTTAGGGTTGAGCTTCCTACAGTAGAAAAATATGACACAGACAACACACAAATCCAAGTATCGTCTCCTCCAGCCGCTGTCTTGCCTTTGGTGACTACCTTCAGCAGGGCGAGACCCTGACTCAGGTCTGACTTAACTTGTTGCGGATCCACAGAGGGGAAGCTGAGTGAAAAGCTACTCCATAAATACTGTTCTCTCAACAGCGTCACGGCGGCTAGAAACACATGAGCTAGGTTCCGGAGACACTGCCACTTTGAGCAGCACCCCGTAAAGTTTGTTGGTTGTGACAAAGTTTGAACCAAAACAAAGAGCTTTGAACCCTCAATCTGGCTCGGTCACACTACATAAGAAAGACCTCAGGGGAGCCATGGGGAGCACCCAGGGAGTATCAGGGGAGCACCCAGGGAGCACACTGCTTTCTCATGAAGTTAGCTCGTCCTTACCACAAAGGCAGCCTAAACAGAGGGAAAAAAAAATGTTTTTCTGGTGGGTTTTCTGTGTTATTATGGTGGCAAGAACAAATTGCACAAGATCTATCCCCTAGTGAATTATTTTAAGATTGAGACAAAGTATCCAGCAGCCCAGGCTGACCTTGAACTTTTTTTTTTTTTTAAGATTTACTTATTTTTATTTATGTGAATACAGTGCAGATGTCTTTAGACACATACCAGAAGAGGGCGTCGGACACCATTACAGATGATTGTGAGCCACCATGTGGTTGCTGGGAATTGAACTCAGGACCTCTGGAAGAACAGTCAGTTGGTTTTTTTTTTTTAAAGATTTATTTATTTATTTATTATATGTAAGTACACTGTAGCTGTCTTCAAACACCCATATGAGGGCATCAGATCTCATTGTAGATGGTTGTGAGCCACCATGTGGTTGCTGGGATTTGAACTCATGACCTCTAGAAGAACAGTCAGTGCTCTTAACCACTGAGCCATCTCTCCAGCCCAGCCTTGAACCTCTAATCCTTGGAACTACTGGGATGACAGCCGTGTGGCACCACATCTGGTTGTGTAAATTTTAATTGCCCAACATATTACTGCTGACTACAAGTACAATGTCGATCAGGGGCTCTCTAGATCAGCAGATTTTAACCTGTGGGTTATGCAATCCCTTTGGAGAATGAACAACCCTTTCACAGGGGTTGCCTAAGACCCTTGGAAAACACAGATGTTTATATTATGTGTCACACTAGTGGCAAAATTGTAGTAATGGCATAAGAATGAGGATAATTTTATGGTTGGGGGTCACCACAGCACGAGCAACTGCATTAAAGGGTCACAGGAGTAGGAAGGTAGAGAATCACTATCTAGATCTTATTCATGCCATAAGATTCTTTTATAAAAAAAAACATTTAATCAGTTGGGTGGTGGCGCACACCTCTAATCCTGGTTCCTTGGAGGCAGAGGCAAGCTGATCTCCGAGTTTGAGGCCAGCCTGGCCTACAGAGGGAGTTCCAGGTCAGCCACGGCTACACAGAGAAACCCTGTTTCAGAAAAGAAAATAACAAAAATATTTGTAAAATTGTGTGTGTGTGTGTGTGTGTATGGGTGTGTGTATGTGTGTGTTGGAAGGGTTTGTGCACAGGCAAGCACATGTACCCTCAGAGTCCAGAAGACTTTGTCAAGTCCCTGGACCTGCAGTTGCTGGCACTGTGAGCCACCACGTGGGTACTAGAAACTAAACCTAGCTCCTCTGTAAGAGCATCGAGTGTTCTTTCCCGCCCGGTCATCTTTCTGTTCTTGTAAGAGTCTTTATGAAGTGCCCCTCTCTCTTCCTGGTCCTTGCCCCTCATGACCTTCCTCCTCCTGGTCTTCAGTAGAATTGCTTCAGCGCACAGATGAGACTCTCGCCCTCACTTAGAAGTACTGATAGAGAAAGAGGTTCATATGGGATTTTATTCAAAACACGATCGACGGCTGGGGATGGAGCTCGGTTGGTAGAGTGCTTGCCCAGCATGCATGAAGCCCTAGGCTCTGTCCTCACCACTGCCTAACCCAGCATGGCTGTGACCTCATGCCTGTAGTCCCGGCACTCCTACTGAGGCAGGAGGATCCCAAGTTCAAGCTTATCCTCAGCTCTGTAGGCGTTTAAGAGCTGTCTGAGCTAGAGGCCCTGTCTCAAAGCAAAACAGATTTGAAGAGAAAGCCAGGCATGGTCTCTGAGTACATCTGTAATCCCAGTACTCCAGCGACAGAGGCAGGAGGATCTCCAGTTCCTAGAAAGCCTAGGCAACACAAGACTTTGTCTTACAAAACTACAAAATAGCCAGTAATGGGAAACAGTGTGGGGTCGGGGCACAGGGAGGCATTTTGTTAAGATATTCACTGAAGCTGGGAGATGGCTTTCTATCCTATACAATGATCCATTTGACTGTTGTTGGCTTTGGGCGAGCTTGAGATTTTCTCGTTTTACATCATGGTTGTTAAAGTTACCATTCGTTTTGAAACACTTGTTGGATAGCTCACCTTGCTTTGGGAAACACAGTCCACTGAACCTATCAGACTCAGGGAGACTCACAGGTAGGCACAGTAGAGAAACGAGGTGATGTCAGGTGCAGGGCATAGGAAAGGACCCACAAGAAACTGTCAAAACAGAATCAGGACACTTCCCCCAGCACATGCCAGGAACCAGAGCATCAGGGCAGGGCTTACTGGCCCCTCCTTCCGCCTGTGCCAGTGCATGCATCCCACCTTGGGCTTTCAGATGTCCCTGTGACAGCACATGGGTGAAGTGCCAGCCCTTCTTCACACCCCCAAACCCTCAAGTTGTTTCTTCTATCCACAGCTGGCAGAGTTGGCAGCAGAGCCAGGCCAACCCTAGACTGTGGTTTTGAGCATAAGGACTTTTTCTGGCTTCCCAGAGGGCAGGTCTTCCTGTTTTCTGTCTCCCTGGAGCCCAGGCCTTTAAATAGTTCTGGGAGGTCCTGACTGATGCCCTAGATCTTAAGAATTGTCTCCTCACACCACTGTCGGAAACATGGCCAGATATCACACTTCCATGGCTCCTGGTATAGAAACGGTGATCAAGGAGGAAGTGCTGGTGGCAGCTCCCAGAGGAGAGAAGCCTTTCTGAGGAGCAGTCCTCCAGTCGGGTGGCTTTTTAAAACTGAGAGGGGCCTTAGAGACCATACAATTTCAAAGGAAGGGACTCAGAGGGGCCAGTGAATGACAGACTCGGACATCTGGCACTAGAACCCCACCTTCAAAGCAGACACTCTCCCCACTAACAGTCTCATAGGCATGTGTGTGTGGGCATCTGGGGTATACCCCTCTCTCCCTGGCTCTCCCTCACTTTGCTCCTCTTTTCTCTCTCCTCTCCTTTCCTCTCCCCTCTCCTCCTCTCCTGCATTATAGAGATGGCCCTGGTGGTGCAAGCCTCCATCTGTAATCTCAGCTATGTAGGAGTCTGCAGTGGAGGACTAACCATGAAGGGATGTCTAAGCTCCAGAATGAGATCGAGGCCAGCCTGGGTGACTCGGACCCTGCTTCTCTCTAAACAAACATGTGAGGATTAAGCTTAGTGATAGAGCGCTTGACTAGCATGCATAAATTCCAGAACGTTAATTATATTAAAAAAAAAAAAAGTGTGGTGAATCAGGAGTTCAAGGCCAGCTTAGGCTGCAGAAGACTGAAAAAAAGTGTGTAATAGGACTGGGGTGGGGTGTGACTTAATGTAACTCAGCTTGTGTTCAGCATGTACAGAGCCTTGTGTTTAATTCTTAGCATACACAAACAGACTCACATAAGTCACACACGCATGCACAGGTACGAATGCACACATGCACACACATGCATGTACTAATGCATGCACACATGCATGTACTAATGCATGCACACACATGCACACACATTCATACATGTACACATGCACATGTACTAACGCATGCACACATACATACACATGCACACACACATGTGCACACACATATACTAACATATGCACATACATGTACACATGTACATGTTAGTACATGTACTAACGTATGCACACACATTCATACATGTACACATGCACATGTACTAACGCATGCACACATACATACACATGCACACACACATGTGCACATACATATACTAACATATGCACATACATGTACACATGTACATGTTAGTACATGTACTAACGTATGCACACATACATACACACATGTACTAATACATGTACACACACACACACACACACACACACACACGCATGTGCATTATGGCTCAATCCTCTCCCTCTAACCAGAAATGTATTGTCCTAGTCCCAGGCGGTTGCTAAAGACAGACAGGTTTGACTTAGTCCTCCTGTGTGGAAAGACCACATCAGACTTCTCTGGCAGTCCCTCACGATGCTCAAATTTTTATTTGGACTTGTTTAATTAGAAAAAGTGACAACTTCAAGATTTGGTTGAACTTTCGGTCTCTGAAAAGTAGTATTTCTGACAGGTGTGGTGGCATACATTTTTAATCTCAGGCAATAATGAACAGTGAGTGTCCCGGGCCTCCTGGGAGGGTCCCTGAATCCTTGCCCAGTGGGTTTGAGGTGATTATAAAGTATCGGGGTTCCAACACTTCCAAATAGACACTAAGGTCTAAGGTAAGATTCCAGCTCCAGAACCTTACCGTCCACCGCACAGGAGATGAACTGCAGCCCGGGCTCTGAGTATCATGGCTCCTCTGACTCAATTGTTATCCTTCAGTCCTGACTCAGCTCTCGGCTCTGGAAATGCTGACAAGAAGAATCCGTATCTCTGCGATCTGAGGTCTGGCCATCCACACTTTCAGGCTGAGTGTACTGAGGCGGTGGGCTTGGCTTTTCATCGCTTTGTCTTTGGATGGTGGCAGTAAGGAAATGGTTTTCCTTTCCCTGACTGTGAGATTTGGATCTGACTAGAAATCTGCACGCTTTCTCTGCAAAGATTCAGGAAATGCAGATTGTCATGGCACTGGACAGAGATCATGGCGCTCTTCAGAAACGTGACGGTTTCAGAGGCAGCCACGGAGCTTGCGTCCACAGTGCAGCCATCGGCTCCAAGGTCAGGGAGCACAGAGCGTGCTGGAGCTGACCGGAGCTGACCAGTTCACTCCTTGTGTTCTTAAGTGCTCCGTTCATCTTTTAATTATAAAATTGTAAATAAAGCTGGAAAGCATCTGTATTTTTCAAGTCCTTCAGTGGGACCATTCATCCTTTGCATTTCTCTTGGAGGCCCTGTGACATTATCTCTGAAGCTGTCCCTAGAGATATAAGATGGTGCTGGGTCAGCAGCAAGGCTGTGTTAAGGAAAGGTAAGGCTGTACCTGCCTGCTCTGGTGGGCACTTGAGGACACAGACCTCACCCCCTCCTCCAGGCTCCACCCCTTGTTTCTAAGGGTGCGTTTCACACAGATGCATCTGGGCAAAACCTAATCAGCTATTCTTATTTATTACATGTGTGTGTGCCCGTGTGGTCAGAAGATAACTTTTGGGAGCTATCGCCCTTCCGGGGCTTGAACTCAGGTTGTAAGGCCTGGCAGCAGGTACCTTTATCTGAAGAGCCATCTAACCATCTCTTTAACCAGCGATTGTCATGCGGAGCTGGGAGAAGTGTGGTCGCTTTTGACTTCTTCCAGGTGTATTCACAACCTTCATTTCTAAGAGCTGGAGGATGGTGCAGGATATCTGATCATTCTGTGAACCCTGAGAGTGTACACAGGAAAAACCCGTCTCTCGCCGTGGTGCGGCTCCTCCACCCTACACAGCTTTAATAGAAGAGCTTTCTGTTTATTGTAAACAAGATTAAATAAAGTCAACCATAGGTCAAGAAGCAGAGCAAACGACCACTTGACAGGAAGTGAACATGGGAAAAAAAACCCATAGGGAGTGAGAGGAAGTCAGGAGGATGGATGGAGAGGAAAAGTGAGAGGAA